ATATATATATTATACTGGGAATGTTGTACTGTTTACCGCCCAATAACTTGCCATACATTGTACTTTGCTACCATTGCTGTGTAATTAATTCCATTTGATGTGACTCTTTAAATAGCTGATAGTTTGAAATTCAAAATAGACCAGGCGATTGTTATTTCGTTGCAATAATTGCATATGTGACTCAGTCTTGTTTGTGTGTTACAGAGGAACACGTCGGTCCAACTGAAGCCCCGGTACTCTGTAAGTACTGCCTATTAAAGACCTGTCAGCACTGCCATTCATTCATTCATTCATTCATTCATTCATTCATTCATTCATTCATTCATTCATTCATTCATTCATTCATTCATTCATTCATTCATTCATTCATTCATTCATTCATTCATTCATTCATTCATTTATTCATTCATTCATTCATTCATTCATTCATTCATTCCTTTCCTTTCTTTCAAAGAGTTGTCTTTTTAGATCTACTAGTATACGTGGCTGCTAAATCTGATTCTTGTAAAGAATTGTGTTTGTATTACTTATGTGTATATGTCTCACGTGTATTGTGCTGCTTGCAATTTCAATAAATCAAATCAAATCAATCTAAAAGACGTTTTTTTTTCTGCAGTTGAGTGCCCCGTCGGTTGGGACGACTCGTTCGAAGGCATGTGCATCAAGACGTACGAAACCCAGGCGAACTGGCCCATGGCGTATCACACGTGCAGCACTCAGGACAGGGGCCGCCTGGTCACCATAGAAGACGATGCGAAGTTGGACTTCATTATACAATATGCGACGGATAATAACGTTCACTACTTTTGGATAGGCGTGAACGATGTGGTGAGTAACGTTTAATGATTCATTAACGTCTATCTAGCCTGAGTACCATCCGGATTTTCGCTCCGCAACTCTCGAGGAAAATCCGGACGGTACCCAGGCTAACGTCTATGTAGCCTGATTACCATCAAGATTTTCGCTCCCCAACGGAAAATCCGGATGGTACCCAGGCTAACGTCTATCTAGCCTGAGTACCATCAGAGGTCAGAGGTCAGAGGTCAGCAAGGGTCAGAGGTCAGTGGAAGATACGCGCGTCTTCTCAAATGCTCCTCAAGTGTCGGGCATATTCTGATGGATTTTTGAGTTCAGAGTTGCGATAAGTCAGCTCTGTTTTGTGCAGTAGTGTCCTGGAACCTTCTAGGTATGTCTGACAAGGGAGGAGGTGTGAAGACACGAGAAAGCGCGAAAAAGGATGCAGGGAACACCGGCGCTGCTACAGGGAGGGAGGGCGACGCCGCCATTATGAACGAGTTGAAAGCCCTCAACAAGAAGTTGGATGGAATGTCCGCCAACTTCGAAAAGCAGCTAAATAGTAAAGTTGACAATCTTCGTTCATCCTTGGAGAAGCTGATTACCAAGTCCGGTGAGGCTCTAAAAGCCGAGATCGAGAAGAAAGCCAAGGAAATCCGGGACGAATTCGACATGGAGATTGGTCAGCTGAGAAGCCGGGTAGAAGCCGTGGAGGCCAAACTAGGTGGCTCGAGCTCCAAGCCTAGCAACTTCGACCCCGATGAGTCTATCATTGTGTCTGGTCTACCGTATGACGAGGGGGAGGATGTCCAGGAAAAGGTTAAGGAGCTTCTAGTTGATGGCCTGAACTGCGACATCGAGGCGGTAGCGGTGGAGAGAACGAAGCCCAGAGGCCGAGGCCCCGGCGTGGTGAAGGTGCAGTTCCGATCCGTCCGGGAGAAGGTTGCGGTGCTCAGGGAGAAGCAGAAACTGAAAAACCACAACGCTTACGAGAGAGTGTACCTGAGATCTGCGAAATCCCACACCGACCGTCTCATAGAACTGAACTTCAGGACAATCCTGCGAGAGATTCCCGGCGGCAACGAGTACTTCATCACCGGAAGCGGGCGAGTAAAGAAACGGGAGACTCGTGATGCTAGCACCGACAACACTCCGTCATCTCAACCGTGAGAGCGCGTCGCCCAGCCGGTACGGGACCAGATTCGCCTTGCTCACTGGAACGTGAACGGATGGACTTCTCTGAACTGTAAGTTAAGAGAAACTGTGCTGCTACATTTATCTCCTGATATTATATCAGTGAACGAAACTCATCTGAAAGACAACGATGTAATTGAACTTGAGGGGTACGCCTGGTATGGTCACAACAGAATGGTCCACCACAGGGCCCCCAGGGGTTCTGGTGGTGTTGGTATATTTGTAAAGAATGACCTGTTTGACTCTTACAATATTGTTGTCTTAGACAAAGATGTTGATGGAATACTAGGCCTACAGTTTGAGCATCGTATTTCAGAATACAAGTTTGTTGTGTTTTCCTGTTACCTGCCCCCGGAGCAGTCTCCATGGGGACGAGATGCTAATGAATTCCTAGGCCACCTGTTGACTCAGATGTATGCTTTGGAGGATGTGGACAATATTATCATATGTGGGGATCTGAATAGTCGAACAGGTGGACTAGACGACTGTATTGTAGAAGTGGACGGGATCCCGCCACGTGAAATTCTTGACACTACTGTTAACAATCATGGCGCCAGTTTAATTGAATTCTTGAAGGACTCAAAGATGTGTATGTTGAACGGGAGAATTTCTCCGACAAATAACCGTTTTACTTCTGTGTCGCCAAAAGGAAGGTCAGTTGTTGACTACATTATAGCGCCCCATGATTGTCTTGATAACTATTTTGAATTTGATGTATTGAGTCCAGCTCACCTGGCTGAGGCATGTGGTACTTCTTGTATGAGCCTGATAGGTGACCGTTGTAGACTTCCTGATCACTCCTTGTTATTTGTAGGATTTAATGTGAACATTCAAACTGAAGAGGCCTTACAATCTGTACCACAGGCTAGTGCTAAGGCTCGCTGTAAACGTAGAAAGGTGACAGAAAACTTTTTGCGCTCTGATATAAGCCGGAGAGCGTTGGTTAATCTCATAGACCGTATACAAAAAGTGAATAAGTCACAACAGGACATTGATATGTGTTATGACTCGCTTTGTGAGATTATTTACAATGATTTTGATGTAAATGTGAATTGTCAGAATGTAAATATACCTCGGTCTAGAAAGTTGCATTGCCCTGGAAAGCCTTTTTGGAATCCAGAGTTAGATGGGTTATGGGTTCATATGAGGGATGCAGAACGCGAGTATACTAGATGTACAGGAAGCAGAAGGTGTAAAGAAGAGTTAAGGAATGTCTTTAAGAAAAGACAGTATGCCTTTGATAAGAAACTTCGCTTCTACAAACGGAAATTCCAACGAGGTCAAGTATTAGAGCTAGAGTGTTTAAAAACTGATAACCCCCAGCGATTCTGGAACGAAGTAAATAAGTTGGGTCCAAAAAGAAGCACTAAAATCCCTATGAAAGTGGTAAATGAATCTGGAGACTTGATACAAGATGTGAAGTCAGTTCTGGATAGATGGGAATCAGATTTCTCCAACTTATTTGCTGGTAATAACGCTGAAGGTGTATTTGATGATGACTTCTTCAAAGAGATCTGTGCTCTTAAACATCGGCTTGAAAATGAGATGAAGGATGTATCGTACTCTCCGAACCCATTCCTTAATGCCCAAATCACACTTAGTGAGGTCACAGCAGCTGTGGAAGCAGCCAAGACAGGAAAAGCAATGGGTATAGATGAAATTTCAAACGAAATGCTGAAAGCACCAGACATTCTGCATATTTTGCATACTCTTTTCCAAACCTGTTTTGAAAGTGGCATCATACCCTCTGCTTGGTACAAATCGATAATTAAGCCCATCCCCAAGTCATCTAAGAAAGACCCTAATGTTCCCTTAAACTACCGCGGGATTAGTTTAATGAGTACTGTATATAAACTTTACTCAAGTGTTCTTAACAACAGATTAACCCAGTATCTAGAGTGCTCAAATCTACTTGAAGATGAGCAGAACGGTTTCCGTAAAGGTAGAGCCTGCATTGATCACATTTACACAGTATGTACGGTGATTAGGGCCAGAATGGAAGAAGGAAAGTCAACTTTTGCTTGCTTTATTGACTTTCAAAAAGCATTTGACTGGGTAAACAGGGACCTTCTAGCCTACAGACTCATCCAAATGGGCGTTGATGGGAAATTTTTCGAAAATATATTATCTCTGTATAAATCCCCAATAGCCTGTGTAGAGGTGAATGACTACCGTACACACTGGTTCCCCACTCCTTTCGGAGTAAAGCAAGGGGACGTACTATCTCCTACATTGTTTGCTATGTATGTTAATGACCTTGCTCAAAATGTCAAAGATTCTGGTTTGGGAGTCAGGTTTGGTGAGAAGACTCTAAGTCTGCTGCTGTATGCAGACGACATTATTATATTGGCAGATAATGAAAGTGAACTGCAGGAACTGCTAAACATTGTAAATGACTGGTGTTCTAAGTGGCGGCTCATGATCAATCAAGGAAAAACACAAATAATGCATTTCAGGAAAAAAGGAGTAAGAAGGAGTTCCCATGAATTTAGATTTGGAAATTTGAAACTTGATTATGTGAGCCGGTACAAATATTTAGGTCTTTTCTTAGATGAACACCTGTCTTTTAATACAGCTACTACTGTTCTTGCAGAGGCTGCAGGGAGAGCTCTAGGTGGGGTTCTGGGTAAAGTCAAGGTTTTAAAAGACTTGGGTTACTACACATACACACAACTCTATGAAGCGTGTGTTTGTCCCATCCTTGACTATGCAGCTGGTGTCTGGGGATACAAAACAACTGAGAAGTGTTCAGTGGTGCAGAACAGAGCAATTAGGTGCTTTTTAGGGGTGCACAGATTTGCACCTGTTCTTGCTACAACAGGGGACATGGGCTGGGCGCCCTGTGAAATAAGACAGCAGGGGTCTGTAATCGCTTTATGGAATAGACTTATCAATATGTCAAATGATAGAATTACAAAACAAGTATTCTTATGGGACTTTCAAAACCATGGCCCCTGGAGTAGAAATGTCCAGGATATATTCTGTAAAGTTGAGCAAGAACATGTTTATCTTAACACATTGAGGGGTGACATTAGGCAAATTAAAGGGAAGCTTTTTGACTTATACAAGCAAGACTGGGCAACCAAAGTACTTTTGAAACCTAAACTTAGAACATATGCTCTGTTTAAAGATACTTACTGTATAGAAAAATATGTAACTATGTGTCTCCCCAAACGCCAAAGATCATTGTGTGCGCAGCTGCGAGCTGGTATTTTACCTATCAATATTGAAACTGGACGGTACCAGGGAATTCCTGAGGAAAGTAGAATGTGTACCATGTGTGACCTGGATGAAGTAGAAAACGAAACACATTTTCTTTTTTACTGTCCCTTTTATGACGATCTTCGAGAAAATATGTTTCGTAAAATTTATACAAAATCACCTGACATCATATGGGAAAGAGATGAAAATAGAATTAAGTGGCTCTTTAACGAGGGTGTATCTGACCTAGCAACTTTCATTTATCGAGCGTGGGGGAAAAGAAGAAAATACCTGTATTCATAACACATCAACAGTTCTCACCTTTTGTTACTTCTACACATTTGTTTTCTTCTTATTTATATTTGATTTACCTTATGTACTTGTATTTATTTTGTGTAAATCTTGGTTCTTTATCAAGTTTATGTACAGATTTGTTTATTTGCATTTATGATCTGTTATGAGTTCACTCTGTTCTGCTTAAATTGTATATAGCCTAACTTTATTTGTGTTCACATTTTGTTTGGATTCTGTACCTCTGTTTCTCTGTTGTTTATGTATTATTTATTCTCAAACGGTGTCGTATAAGCCCACACGGGCTGGGCGTGGTATGCGCACGACACGAAAATAAAGTTTCATTCATTCATTCATTCATTCATTCATTCATTCATTCATTCATTCATACCATCCGGATTTTCGCTCCGCAACTCTCGAGGAAAATCCGGATGGTTCCCAGGCTAACGTGTGTCAGACTATCGTGTTTAGAGTTAAAAGTTTTGGTCCAACACAAAAAATTATCTCACCTAGAGCTTTCGACCAGTGTGACTGGTCTTCCTCAGTAGAAAGACCCAGTGACGTGGCTTGTCACATGGCTTCTTTGAAGTGTGACGTCAACTCTGGGTCAAAGGTATCTGGTAGACAATGTCAGCCCCCGTCGCGGTTTAATTGACCCACAGTTGACGTCACACTTCAAAGAAGCCACGTGACAAGCTTCACTGGGTCAGTCTAAAGTTTTAACTCTAAACACGTCTGTCAGACTTATTGCAATTCAGCTCAAATATGCCATGAGGGGAACAAGTAACAATAGTCGGTTTTCTCCGAAGTTGGTTACTTGGTTCACAGTGCACTTAATCTAGTTTTTACTGTTAACAATGCATTTCCGAATGTAGTGCAATTGTGACATACATAGGCATTGTTTCATCATAGGGACATATGCGGTTCCAAATGTAAAGTGTTTCTATATATAAAGAATCAAATTTGTTAGTTTGTTTCTTGATTACTTTCTGTGTTTGTCAACATGTTGTAATTATGTTCAACAATCTGTGTTTATGAAGAAGTTAAACTGTTCTCCAACTCAAAATTTGACTCACCGAAATTTTCGACTGAATCACTCAGTCTTCCTCATCAGCTATCTGACCCAAATGCTGTGGACGCGTGATTTTTCCCACGTGTGACCTCATCAAAGGGTCAAAGGTTGTCTGAAGTCGATATCGCCCCCCGTCCCGGTTGAACTTGAACAAATCTTTTATTTATTTATTTATTTATTTCATTTGCACACACCTGGGTAGCCCACTCAGCTTTGACAAGTTGATTTTCAGTGGGGCCCAGTTTACAGAAATAATAAAACATAAGTTAATACATAAACAGAAATAACAGAGAATTGTATGTAAAACATAAATAACGCTGTTCTGTGTTTGTTTCTTGTTTGCTTTTCCCATATCGTAGTTCACGGAGGGAGAGCTTATATGGACGGACGGGGACGAGTATCATGCAGATGAGTTTTCTAATGCTACCGCCCTCTGGCATCCAGACTACCCCAACACCGACGAGGCCGACTGTGTCTGCCATGCCAGAGATCACGGGGGCTACCTCAACAAGTGGGCTTTCGAGAGCTGCTTGATAAAGAAAAAATTCATTTGTGAGATCGGTAGGTCACCATCTTTCCTGCTGGTTTCTTTGTTAACATGTTCAATTTAAGATGATAATGATGATGATGACGACTGGTTTATTATTCACATAAACATGAACATACAGGTTAAACGTCTGTGGCAGCCCAAATGGCTGAATTGTCGACTTTTTACAATTTCAAATCTGGAAGAATATTATCAATTCAGACCTAACATTGTATCAATGTACAAATAGAAATGTACATTGATTCTGAATTCAGTAACTTGTACTTTAAGTTTACTGCGAATGATCAATAGATAATTCTTGAGTCTTGAAATCGAATCAAATCGAAATCCTTTCCTTCCTCCCATGTTGCAGATATTGACGAGTGCAGCGCCAAGCCATGCCTGAACAACGGAACGTGCTACGAGCTGCACCCAGTAGGATACAACTGCACCTGTGAACCTGGGTACGAAGGAGACCATTGTGAGACAAGTGAGTACAACAATTTTTATACAGTCTGAAATGGGTTTAAAAATCGGGTATTTCTTCTTGTCTTCTTTTCTTCACCAAAAAAATAGAAAAAGTTCAAAATGTATGATTTCTGTATGTAATGTGGACACAGAGGTTCCCACATCAGTTTGCAAAACAATTGAGCTGGTAGCATGTTGATAATTTCTAAAAATTAGCAAAAAACTGCTCTGGGATCCGCGCGGACCCCAGGTGTACAGATTAATCAGTCCGGGAAGGTGTACTGTTGAGGGTTAAATACTATCATTAAAGTTCATCTGTGTTGGTAGTTACATGTTTAACCCTCAAACACCCGAACAGGGTCCATTTGGACCCCAGACGTACATTTTTATGTGCTATTTAAATATTTTTGCATAAATTATGATAATGAGCTGGAATTTTTAAACACATAATCATGCCAAAATAAACGTCTTAATATGATTAACCAATATATGTGCAAATGTCACTGAAAGGATGCAAAAAGGAATATAAATTTGAAAGAAACCAAATGGGGTCCATTTGGACCCCGTTCGGGCATTAACGTCACAAAAAAGTTCGGGTGTTTGAGGGTTAAAAGTAAAACATTTGGTCCAACACAAAAAAAAGTTCTCTCACCTAGAGCTTTCGACCAGTTAAGTGAGGAAAGTCGTGTAAAATGCCTTTCCCAAGGGCACAAGATCGGTGGCATGTCAGGACTCGAACCCGGGAGCTCTTGATTTTACAGATATCGACGAATGTGCAACTGACACAGACAACTGTCACGATGATGCAACATGTACTGACATAGACGGCAGTTTCACCTGTACCTGTAACACCGGTTACACCGGGGACGGAGTCTCCTGTACTGGTAAGAACAAACATATTTGGTTGCACATTTGTTCACCATTCTGCTGTTAGGAAATATCAATTGCTGGTAGAGTTAGTTTCTAAAGATGTTCTTATTAATGTACATCCGTGTAAGATTGATACGTATGTATGTGGTTTACCTCCACAGATATCGACGAATGTGCAATTGACACAGACAACTGCCACGCTGATGCAACCTGTGGTAACGCAATCGGCAGTTTCACCTGTACCTGTAACGCCGGTTACACCGGGGACGGAGTCTCCTGTACCGGTAAGAACAAGCGAGCCGGTTGTATTTTGTTATACATCTGTAAAACGTTACACATGTACAGATAGAATCTTTGCATTCCTTGTCTTGGATTTAAATGTCACAAAATGTGTCATATTTGGATTCATTAAGCGCTAGTTCATGGCTTACGATTTCAGTGTTTTTAACGGATCTCCTAAGGTGTGCTTGAAAAATGGAAAATATGTAAACGATTAAGTAATTATGTTCGTCGCTAAACCTCAGATACAGACGTTTACAGTATCACAATATTGGCGTGACTATTTTCTGCGTTTTGTATTACATTAACTTTGAACTGAAAAAATGAGTATGTTTTAGAAACATTGAATTTTTATACTTACTTAGGACAAGCAATGTAATAGGACGTAATATAAATCTGCCAACAGTCAGAGTGCAAACCCTGATCGCGTCAAAACTATGAATTCGAAATGTATGCCCTGTTCGTGTCAAATAATATCAACTTGATGTTTCACTTAGTGCCTGCGCTTCACAATTTACCGCTCCAAGTGTCGCTATTTACTGTGAGCCTGTCATCTGTCTTTAAAGTAGGTTAGAAGAAGAAATAATGTTTTCCTTTGCCGGAAGAAAATTAATTTTGCACTCACGCTCCATGGATTACCAGCTAGCATAGATTGTAAGATTCAAAGCAAAGATTAAGACGACTGTGGCTGGTATGTTGTTGCGGTTTGCTTCTACAGATATCGACGAATGTACAACTGACACGGACAACTGCCACGATGACGCAGGCTGTACAAATACGATCGGTAGTTTTACATGTTCCTGTGATACCGGTTACAGCGGAGACGGAGTAAACTGTGTTGGTAAGAGCAAACATATTTGGTTGCACAAAAATATTTTGTTCAACATTCTGTTGTTAGGGAAATGTTTTCTTGTATAATATATTTCTACAATAGGTTCTTGTTGGTTCATTAGAAATGTGTATCAGTGTAAGATTGATACGTATGTGGTTTAACTTCACAGATATCGACGAGTGTGCAACTGACACAGCCAACTGCCACACTGAGGCAACCTGTACTAACACAGACGGCAGTTTCACCTGTGCCTGTAACACCGGTTACAGCGGGGACGGAGTCTCCTGTACTGGTAAGAACAAAGGGTTTGGTTCTACAAGATTCAATGAAACATAATACTGTTAGAAAACAGTAGCCATGCCCGTATTTTCCTTTACGTATTGACATTCGGTACAACTTTAAATCTGCATAGAATAGATCCCTTGAATTTCCTCAGGGGTCAATAGCATGTGCTGTGAGGTCAGTAGAAAGAGAGAGACGGAGATTGCTAGATTACTAGTATTTTGATGTCGTTTGTCTCTACAGATATCGACGAATGTACAGACGGCTCGGACAATTGCCACGACCAAGCAACCTGTACTAACACAGACAGCAGTTTCACCTGTGTCTGTAACACCGGTTACAGCGGGGACGGAGTCACCTGTACTGGTAAGAACAAAGGGGTTTGGTTCTACAAGATTCAATTAAACATTATCCTGTTAGAAAACAGTAGCCATGCCCATATTTTCCTTTACGTATTGACATTCCGTACAACTTTTGGTCTGCATAAAATAGATCCCTAAAATTTTCTCAGGGATCAACGGCATGTGCTGTGAGGTTAGTAGAAATGAGAGGGATAAAGATGACTAGATTACTAGTATTTTGATGGCGTTTGTCTCTACAGATATCGACGAATGTACAGACGGCTCGGACAATTGCCACGACCAAGCAACCTGTACTAACACAGACAGCAGTTTCACCTGTACCTGTAACACCGGTTACAGCGGGGACGGGGTCACCTGTACTGGTAAGAATAAAGGGGCTTGGTTCTACAAGATTAAATGAAACATTATACTGTTAGAAAACAGTAGCCATGCCCGTATTTTCCTTTACGTATTGACATTCGGTACAACTTTTGGTCTGCGAAAAATAGATCCCTTAAATTTCCTCAGGGATCAACAGCATGTGCTATGAGGTTAGTAGAAAGAGAGAGAGACGAAGATTACTAGATTACTAGTATTTTGATGTCGTTTGTCTCAACAGATATCGACGAATGTACAGACGGCTCGGACAATTGCCACGACCAAGCAACCTGTACTAACACAGAGAGCAGTTTCACCTGTGCCTGTAACACCGGTTACAGCGGGGACGGAGTCACCTGTACTGGTAAGAACAAAGGGTTTGGTTCTACAAGATTCAATGAAACATTACACTTTTAGAAAACAGTAGCCATTGCCGTATATTCCTTTACGTATTGACATTCGGTACAAGTTTTGGTCTGCGAAAATTAGATCCCTTAAATTTCCTCAGGGATCAACAGCATGTGCTGTGAGGTTAGTAGAAAAGAGAGGGACGAAGATTACTAGATTACTAGTATTTTGATGTCGTTTGTCTCTACAGATATCGACGAATGTACAGACGGCTCGGACAACTGCCACGAACAAGCAACCTGTACTAACACAGACGGCAGTTTCACCTGTGCCTGTAACACCGGTTACAGCGGGGACGGAGTCACCTGTACTGGTAAGAAGCAAGTGTTTGGTTCTACAAGATTCAATGAAACATTATACTGTTAGAAAACAGTAGCCATGCCCGTATTTTCCTTTACGTATTGACATTCGGTACAACTTTAAATCTGCATAGAATAGATCCCTTTAAATTTCCTCAGGGATCAACAGCATGTGCTGTGAGGTTAGTAGAAAGAGAGAGACGAAGATTACTAGATTACTAGTATGTTGATGTCGTTTGTCTCTACAGATATCGACGAATGTACAGACGGCTCGGACAATTGCCACGACCAAGCAACTTGTACTAACACAGACAGCAGTTTCACCTGTGCCTGTAACACCGGTTACAGCGGGGACGGAGTCACCTGTACTGGTAAGAACAAAGGGTTTGGTTCTACAAGATTCAATGAAACATAATACTGTTAGAAAACAGTAGCCATGCCCGTATTTTCCTTTACGTATTGACATTCGGTACAACTTTAAATCTGCCTAGAATAGATCCCTTTAAATTTCCTCAGGGATCAACAGCATGTGCTGTGAGGTTAGTAGAAAGAGAGAGACGAAGATTACTAGATTACTAGTATTTTGATGTCGTTTGTCTCTACAGATATCGACGAATGTACAGACGGCTCGGACAATTGCCACGACCAAGCAACCTGTACTAACACAGACAGCAGTTTCACCTGTGCCTGTAACACCGGTTACAGCGGGGACGGAGTCACCTGTACTGGTAAGAACAAAGGGTTTGGTTCTACAAGATCAAGATTCAATGAAACATTATACTGTTAGAAAACAGTAGCCATGCCCGTATTTTCCTTTACGTATTGACATTTGGGACAACTTTAAATCTGCATAGAATACATCCCTAAAATTTTCTCAGGGATCAACAGCATGTGCTGTGAGGTAAGTAGAAAGAGAGAGACGAAGATTAGTATTTTGATGTCGTTTGTCTC